AATACAGATGTGAATATATATATATATATATATGTATATATAATATATATATATAGATGTATATATATATATATATACACAACAAATACAGATGTATATATATATATATATATATATAAAGTAATAATATAGCTATAGATATAGTAATAAATATAGCTGGATTTAAATATAGCCACTCAATTTAAGACTTTACTTATATATTCCATATTATAAAATGTTTACTAGCATTCTAAAAATAAATATTTTATCTTTGCCACATAATCGAGAAAATGCAATATCACACTTACCAAAAAAAAAAAAATTGAAATCCCTTTAGATCTTTTAGAACATACGGGAACCTAAAAATAGCTTTTCTGTCAACTAGAGGAAGAAAATAATGCGTCAAATGCTACAAAATTGAAAACTTGAATCTTTTCTTTATTCAAAAACTTTATTATTTTATTAAAAAAAACTCGGATATTTTAAATTCAGATTTACAGGTTTTTGTATAATTCTTAAGATTCTAAAAAGAATCGATCTAGAAATTTCAGATTCCATATTTGTTTTACTTTCTACTAGACAACCGTATTTTGCAAAGAAAAGAAACTTAGATAATAATTCTCTTCAACTGTATATATGCTTTAATAAATCGATGTGGATATTCTGCACCAGATTTAGACGTGACTTGATCATCAAACTACCACGGGCAGCCCAATGCAGTTCAGAAGTGTAATAAAAGTTATGCTAATTGTCAATAGTATTAGCTTAACACCTCCTAGAAGGCCTCATCACGGATCTATTTAGTAGTCCAGCGTAACGAACATAAAGTGCGCAGTGGGTGAAAAAAAAAAGAAAGATGTTCCTACGATCGGGCTACAAAACTGCGCAGTGGTCGTGAATACGAAAGATGTCATTACGTTCGGACTACTAAAGAATCAATTTTCTTGTTTATGGTGACCAGTGCTGATGCCTTCTCTCTTCTAGGAGGTATTGATCAGCTACGCTTTTTTATACTAATTGTAATGTGCCATGTCTTTTAACACCTTGAGCGTTATGCGTATTTTTACGTTAATCCATGAGGGTTACTTTGAAGTGTTCATATTGTGGTATAGCATTACGAAGTGCACTACTAACAGATTAAAGTTAATAAAAAATTCATTTGTAAGGAATAAAAACTAAGTAAATTTTGAATAAATTTCTAGTAAATCTTTTAAACAACTTATCATTTATTTATTTTTATCATTTTTTTAATATATAATATATTTTACACAGTCAATCACTCACGAGATATAAACGGAAAATTCAGTGTCAGTCACTGATAACTGATAACACGTTAATTAGCTTCTTAAAACTCTCTAATCTTTAAAAACGAGCGTTCTTACAAAGGGAACAGCGCTATCTACCGGTTAATTTTTATACTACTCCTTTTTCTTTCACAAAACAAATTTTCATTGCTCTGTGTAAACTCATATAAAATATCATACCATTCTGACAAGTGGCTCTTATTTTTTACAGCCTTTGGAAAAGGCCTTTTTTTAAAATTATCATCACCCTGTAATTTTATTTTATTTTATAACCGTCGTTGAACAACCGACCGAATACTCAGTTTACGACTACCAGTGCTCAACTCCGTAGTTTTGTCATTTTGAACTCAATCCAGAAGACAAGGGAACTCAAGTATTGAGAGAAATTAGTCTTCGTGGAGGACTTTTTGATGCATCTAACCCACATTTGTGTTACACGGGGAGGAAAAATCAAGAAAACCTCAAACGGTTATACTGCCTGCAATTGAACTCTAACCTGTGATCCGTCTACCACTGAAGATATTTTACGTCAGCACTGTGGTCGGTGCAAGCCGGATGCGGAATTTGTATCGACCAGTTATAGCTGGGATTCGTACCCGGGTCACTTTATTGGAAGGCAAACGCTCTATCTCCTGAGCCACTACGGTTTTCATCACCGTGTTAGTAAGATCTGTTATAAATTAATGCTCTCTGTGCAAACTTCAGAGCTTTCTTATTCAACATCATCAGTTTTTCTTTAATAATCGCCATATACGAGTGAAAACGTAACATATTATGAAAATTCTATTTCTTAAAGAAACTGCAGATTTTTCGCAGACTTTTCGTAGTCATTTTGTAGGATTTATCTTTATCTACATAAAAATAGTTATATTTCATTCACTCATATTTAAAAAAAAGTAGGTAATTAATTCCAAACGCAATTAAAAAAAAAAACTATTTAATAACTCAAACATAAAGGTTGATTTTTTTTTTTTTTTTTTTTTTTTTTTTTTTTTTTTTTTTTTTTTTTTTTTTTNTTTTTTTTTTTTGCTTAGTGTTTAACATTTTTGCGAAATAAGTTATGTTTGCATCATACTTTACATTCTCTGAACCAAAATATTTAAATAAATTTTTTTTCTAGAAAACAAATATTGATCTAAATGCTCATAAATCCTTCTCTATTTTCAAATATTATAAAAAACAGCTGCAAGATCTCAAATCTTGCACGGTTTTTTATATGTATATTTTTTATCAAAAAAAATCTAATCCTTGAATCGAAGCCAAAAAAAGTTATTTTTAATGGAACATTCATTTTTAAAAATTTGAATTTATTAGAAGGAAAGAATTTAATCCTTTTTCATAAGTTTTAGTAAGTATTGTTATAACTCAAGTGCATAATTTTTCAATATATTTCTCAGCAAAAATATAATATTTTAATTGTTAAAATTTTTAATTAAAACTATGCTTTTTTCTGTTTTCATATGATTTTTATGCACTGATGGTTTATTTTTTTAAAACACTTTTTGTTTTAAGTATCAAATTATCTATTTATTTTTTCATTATTATTTATATTATGAATAAAAAATTTTATTTTTTCCTTTCTATTTTCAAAATCGTATTTAAAAATGTTTTAAGAATAGTTAGCGACAAGATTCAACTGTACAAACGCTTAAGTTTTTCAACATATCTTGCTATATAATACAATACATAAATTGCTATAAATCTCACAATTTTATATTTAAAATTAATTATAACAGTTTTTTAAAAATTAAAGATATTTTGCATTCTAAAATTTTTTTAACAACTTAAACTTTGACGCTCAAAAATCTGTCATATTATTTTTAAAATCTTTTAATTCTTTCATTTTTTTGGTGATTTTTTGCAACATTTAGCTGTAGATAGCAAAACATTAATTTAAAAGTTTAAAAGGACGAGAAATTTAAAAAGAAGACTTTTTTTCACCTTGCGAGTTCAAGTCATGGTCGAAAAATAGTTAATTTAACTACGTCGCATCAGAGTTGCACAATGAGCTATTGGCGACGGTCTGGGAAACATCCCTGATAATGATCCAAAGACATGCCATCGCAATTTTGACCCTCTGCAGAGAGGATGGCTTCCCTGCTTTGGAAGCCCGACGACCTGCGCGCGAATTCCAGCACTTTACAGTAGAACAGTTTAGCGAGGACAGATACCGTTCACCCTCGGTCTCTATGCAGACCGATCAAAATGGTCACTCGCCCGCTTACTTACCACAGCCAGTGATGCTTGACTTCGGTGTTCTACTGGGAATTAGTGTTCTTACGATCAGTCCATAGCGGGACAACATTTAACGGAACTAGTTTGTATTAAAAAATTAAATATTAGTTTGTTAAATATTAGGAGTAATATTAGTTAAATAAAAATTGAGTATTATCACATAATGTCAAAACGAGTTGTTGAACACCCAATAAAATATTTGTCGTCGTATAAAAATATACATTAAATTATGCAAAACACGATTGCATCTAAAGATCCTTTTCGAAGATTTAAATTGCATAATAAAATATTGATATAAAGTTGAGAATAGTTAAACAATGTGTTTAATTAATAATTAAGTTTAAATTATTATAGCTAACTGTTTTAACTATTTTTGTTCATAAAGTTTAATTTAGGAAATGGAATAAACATAATTTATTTTGATATTTTATATACGCAATTTAAGATATTGAACTTCAGACATTTTCTAACATAAATTTAATTAAATAACTCGACATACTATTAATTGTACAGTAAAAATTCTATCATATTAAATTAAATAGTAGAGAAATTTAAAAATATTTTTGTTGGTACTTTAAATTAATGTCTTTAACTAATCACAAACGAGATTGACTAACTGCAATTAGAACCATAAACTGAATATATAAATCTATTTAGCAAACATTAATAAAATGAATTTGTTATTAAAATTATTTTATTTTGCCTCTTACTTTGGCTTAATATGATTTCTCGTCAGCGTTCTAATTTAACAAATAAATTGAAATTTAAAAAAAAAATGTTTGTAAAATGCAGAGTAATGCCAGAACTATGGGATTTATAACTTAAAACAACAGAAAATGGTTTTTGTATTTAATATTTTAGCTTTTATTAACGTTTTTCGAGGATCTTTCGTCAAAAAAAAAAAAAAAATCTCCAGTTAAAGTACCTTGCTATTGAGATAAACCTATAATTTTTTCAAACTATTTATTCCATTTTGCCATAAAGAAGTATCAAGATTTAAGAACGGAACGAAATAAATACAGTCAAACTCCGTTATAGTGAACATGGTTTATAATAGTGAACTCCCAGATATAGTGAACGAGATGCTCGCTCCCGTGCCCTGCTATATAGATTATTTTTTGTGGATATAGTGAACCAAAAGTAAAGAGGAAATTGGATATCATGAACTTTTTTTTTTTTTTTTTTTTTTTTTTTTTNTTTTTTTTTTTTTTTTTTTGTCTTAGACTTATTTTTTGCTTGTTTATTTTTTACGGATTTCTAAAACCATCTATTATGTGGAATGTAGCCATTCACATTGTTCTTGCTTACTTTTTCTATTTCAATTTCCCATCCCTAAATACAGACCATCCCTGAATTTTTTGTCAGCAAGACAAAGAGTAATAAAAAATAAAAGTTATCACATTTTTTTTTTACCACATAATGTTTTTTAATCATTTATATATTTCTTTTCATGGGTCATTTATTTAAATAACGTGTAATAAAAGGGAACAGTTCGGAAAAGTTAGTAAAAATTGTTTGCAGTTCGGATATTGGGAACTCCCGGTTATAGTGAACCGCCCCTTGAAGGTTCACTATTGCGGGGTTAAACTTTTTTTGTCTACAAAGTCGCCAATTTAGAGAGATTACTCCACCTTGATAAATGCGACAAGGGACTTTCAATCGAAATAAATTTATCGAAAAAATGATTTTTTGTTTTTTTTATTTTTGTAATTCAAGCATTCGACTGAATATTTTAAATAAAGACTTTTTGAATCTTAGAAAAATTGACGAAGTTGTGAGGTGGTTTTTGTTTTGACCACACTCCTAAGTTTACATTTTCTTGTCTGCAGCTACATGTATACCCAGCGATGCAGCTAGCTATTGCTTGTTTTTGAAAATTATGTTTATTTTTTTACATCTTAAAGCACCTAATTATTCAACTAACTCATAAGATATTATTTATGTCTTTAAAAAAAAGGAAATATTTGCTCAAAAGTAGAATTTGCAATAAGCAACTAGAATAAGCCATTTTTCTCAAAATGTCCTTTTTGACAAATTTATGAATTTCAAACTGTTCTAGCGAAATGAAATTTAAATCTATTGAGCTGTAAGTGTGATACTATATACTTATGAATCTTAATAACATTTTGTTGGCTAAGTTTTTCAAATTTAGTAAGTACTATTAAATTTATCTACGATCATTTATTACGATCTAATGACTTTTTCTTCCGAGAAAGCTGATTTTCGGCAGGTTTTTTACAGTTATTTGCTTCTATAGTAAAAAGTAGAAAAAGTACTCTCTTAATTTTTTACGTTACCCAATATACAATATTTTTAAAGCATTATGTCATTTTAATGAAATTACAGAAGCGAGAAATAATTTTAAATTTTTTTTTTTTAATTTTTAAAAATTTTTTTAAATTTTGTATATAAGTTTTTTTTAACAATATAAGCTGCAGTGTATCTACCACTACAAATATACAATTCCAGCTCACTGGTATATAAGACACGTTAACTCTATTCTATGGTGGGGTACCTTTTCATAGATGAAGGTTGACAATGTCGATAACTATTCTAACCCTCACATAGGTGACCTTCGGACGAAATGTGAACACGCCTACTTCGACGAATGGTCCACATTTTATTTTATTTTATAACCGTCGTTGAACAGCCGACCCAATTTCATGGGTTTACGACTACTTACGTTCAACTCCGTAGCCTTGTAATTTTGAACCAATCCAGAAGACAAGGAAACTCCTGGATCAGTACCCCCAGAGGTATTGATTTGTTGTGGGAACATGGAGGACTTTGAGACTCGACAGATTTAACGTGCATCAGTCACCATTTACTACACGGGGAGTCTTCGGCCGGCGAGGATCGAACCCACGACCTCTTGGATATGGGCCCAGCGCCCTACCGACCAGGCTATCCCGGCCTGAATGGTCCACATTGAACAGTTTGACTTGCTACTTGTGACTGCGACATTATCCACCTTCTCGCGCTGTTGCTTCTCAGTCTCGATAAAACACAAAGTCGGCCTCCGTACACTCGACTGCTAATGGCAACACAGAAGCAACCACCACCGTAAACTTAACACAGCTTCCACGATCAGTAAAAGTACGGTGACCTTAATACAGCTCTACCGTCTTCTCACAAAACATCAATGAATCAACTAGTGGTATCGGTTCATCCAATTCTATCACAGCTATAATTCTGGTGAGGGAATACTGTAGTGCATCTACCACTACAAATGTACAATTCCAGTTCACTAATATATAAGACATGTTAACTCCCTTCTATGTTGGGAAAGTGAAGGATGATATGATCGATAGCCATAGATCTCTGATAGATGAAGATTGACATGGTCGATAACCACTATCCCCATATAAACGTATACTGAAAATTTCAAACCAATCCTGAAAAGGATTTGAAAGTCGCCTTAAAATTATCAAAATCAATGATTAATTAACAATTTTTGTTAATTATTATGAGGCGAGATAATGCTGCGATAGAGTAACTTTTTAAATATTAAAAAATTAGATCATATAGGCAAAATTTATTGTAAAGAACAGTAAACAACGGTATAGAATAGCTAACAGTAAAGAATAACTGTTTTCAACTCACAGCAGTTACGAAAACAGCATATTAATTGTAAAAAATAGCGTTGTTTCATGTGACGAGATAATTTCGAAAAAAAGTCTTAAAACGAAAATATTAAAAGTTTCCTATTAAAGATAAACGAGACACAAATTATAGACGGATGAATATAATTTAGCGATTTATTTAGAGCAAAAATTGTATTTCTTTAAAAAAAAAACTTTATTAACTATAATAAATTATAATCTATAAATTATGCTTTAATTAATTAGAAATAACCTACCTGAAATATAAATTATAACCTATTAGAGATAAACGAGACATAAATTATAGCGGAATGAATATAATTTAACGACTTAAAGTAATAATTGTATTTTTTTTTTAAAAATTATAACTTTATTAATATTCATGAATTATAACCTATAAACTACACCTTAATTAATTATAAATTATAACTCAATTACAAATTATAACCTGCTTTAATAATAAATTTTAACCTAAACAAATTACCTTACTTATAAGTTATAACCTTTTAAAGATAAACGAGACATAAATTATAGCGGAATAAATATAATTTAGTGACTTACTTAAAAATTGTATTTTTAAAAAAAAATTTTTTTAACTTGATAATTACTTCGAAATAGATAAAATACATTTTATACATGGATATTAATGATAAAAAAAAGAACTCTCGTACATTTTGGAATTAAAAACGTTAACTCCTACGTTCTCCAACAGATGGAGCTTTAAACGATCTCATCCTGAATCATAACAGTTTTTCTACTTCTATAAACATTTTTATGTAACTCTAACTGCTGCATCTAAAGTTATGTAGTACCAAATAACATGAAATCGTATGCATGTTAAACATATGATCTAATAAAATTTTATTTTACGATTAAAAATTTAAATTACAACTCTAAAACGTTTTAAAATAATAAAGAAAAATTATAATACTTACAAATATTTTTTATTCTCATAAACATCATATAAAGCTAAAACATGGGGGTGTTCTATTAATTTCATAATGGCTATTTCTCGTTCAACCTGAAAAAAAGGAAAGAAAACTATTCAATATAGCGGGGCAAAATAAAGTATGAATAAGATCAGGTGAAGTATAAATTATGAATAATTTTTTCATCCTAATATTACTTTTGTCATGTTTTTAATTATGTAATTTGGCAACGGTAACAGCACACAGGCAGACTTATAAATCATTTCTATCTGGCTATTGTCACATAATTTAAAATCACTGGTGTTTTTATTTGGTATTTAACTTGTAGCGTGTTTGGTATAAATTTATGGGGTTTTGTATCGTGCCGCTTCGTACTCCATCACGTCATTATCCACAAAACTTTTTTTCGTTGTCACAATAAAAAAAAATAATAAAACGAATCAAACAATGTAAAAAAAGTTTTTTTTGTTGCTATTTTGATTGTTTTTATCATCTCATTTAGTCATCTTAACAATTCTGTATATATAAAAAAAATTTTGACTTCGTAAAAAAATTTTTTTTGAGAACTTTATGAACAGAAGAACTTTTGTCATGAAAGATTTTAAGTAAAGGATTTTGAGATCTGGAGAGAAAAAAACACTTTCAGAAATGTATTAAAAAGCATTTTTTCCAACAGTTCATGATTTGCAGTTAAAAAAAAGACTCGATTATTTAAAATCTGTTCAAATCTACAATTTCCTCATTAAAAATGTTTTTCGCATCATGTAATTTAAATGTCACAATCTAAATCTCAAACATACTTTGGTAAACAATTTCGGAAAATAAAGTAATTTCACACATTTATATAACCATTTAATCTATTTTATTATAATCAGAAAATATTTTCCATAATTATTAAATTAAATTATAATGCAACGGATACAAATTATATTTCGCCTTGAATTAGCCTTGGTAAATTAAGTTTAATGAATGGATTTAAATTTTTTTCGATGCTTTCAATTAGGGTGCATGGTTAGGTAAAGAGCTTATTGAATTTGATTTTTTCTAACTTCATAAAGTAAAAATTTCTCCATTGGGTTCAAACTTATGGTGGTACTCCTAATTAAATCATTAGAACAATTCGAAACTTATGGTGGTACTCCCAATTAAATCATTGGAACAATTCGAAACTTATGGTGGTACTCCTAATTAAATCATTGGAACAATTCGAAACTTATGGTGGTAACTCCTAATTAAATTAATGGAGCCATATACTTCATAATGCTACCCCACTCCTCATATTTTTATAACAAAAAGTCTTTGAGCAAAAATTGTCAACTAAAATTATCGAAGGCGTTAACATATTTACAGTGGATGATTTAAATTACGATGATTATCATTATTGAGTTAAAATCCGATGCTTTAAATCTCAAGCTATTTATTATACAGGGTTTCCCAAGGAATTAAAGTCACCTTGATTTTTTTGTCAGAACAGAACGCCACGAAAACCAGGGAGAACCAAATCTACGTATTGTACCATTTCTATATACATATTTACTATTCCAACTGGACGGGAAAAACGTAAGTGTGCGTAAAAACGTATAGCCACTTGTTATTATAACTAATATATATTTATGTATGATGTTGCATAGCATCTACTACCACTCCCAGGATACCACGCGCCAGTGTCTGATACAAGGGCGCCGGCAGAATAATATAAAAGGGGGTGCAGCCCTCTAACAAACTATCCCCCCCCCCAAAAAAAAAATTTAAGTGTTTTGTTATTGCATTCTGTTTTGTTATTACATATACTTTCATCTGCTAATTTTTTTCAAGAAAAAAAATTACCAATTTCTTGTACTTGCAAATTTTGCCACGAGAAACTGCACTGACGGCGCTAGCATAACTACTGACCTTGAAACACAAATAACTACAAACAGTAGTTTCGAAGTAGTTTAACAACAGTAGTAGTTTAAAAAAAATTAGCCCATTAAACTACAACCAACGATAAACGCGTTGTTAAGTTTCGTTAATTGCACTTCCAACCGCTGTTTACACATACAGTAGAAAAAGTATAAGATAGTAGAAAATGTTGTAGAAATATCTAAGTAGAAAATATCCAATGTCTATTAAGTTTTTGGTAGCGAAAGAGCAGAAGAAAAAATGGCGATGTTTTAGAACAAATTATTACAACCAATGCGAGAATGGCAAACGATATTAAGATATGGTAAAGGAAGAAAGAAATCGAGGCTGAAATTACCAAAGATGTCAATCAATTTTCTTTTTATAAAACTCATTGGAATTTTTCTTCTTGGAACGCGTTTCTATGGAAACAGAGAAGGAGGCGTAAGCTTCAAAAGGTGCAGCGTTCAGCAAAATGTTCGCATTTAACTTTGATTTTTCTTGTTGCAGACGATAAGGTTTAATGGACGATTCCGCTTCGAGTCGATTGCCTATTAGGAAACTGTTTAGTAACATTCCAGAAAACGGAGATTGTTGAAATTCGAAATTTTGTACGAAATTGCATTTCTTGATTTGATACCTAATGTTCCGTTCAAAATCGGAAAAAGTTAAGTCTGCTTAGAAAGTTTTACAGATATTTCAAGTTGTTAAGAGGTTTTATGTCATAACATTTTAGCTTTTTTAAGGCATTATTAAGAACATAAATACTTTCGAAAAATGATTTAGGAATCAAATTGTCGCATTAAACTTTAAATTTATGAGAGCTACTAAAGAAAGTGTGTTATTTTTTTAAATTTATTCCGTGTCTTGTTTTGTGGAAACAATCGGTTGTTACAAGACAAATAAGCATGCACAATACACTTAATGAAGTATAAAAACATTTCATTGGATTATATCTTAATTAGCGAATTAGTTAATTTTAATTAGCAAAACAGATAATTTTTCGTCGAACGAAAAACACTAAAATAAGTCTCAATACGGATCATTGAAATGGTTCACACATGGCTCAATAAAATACCATTTCGTTCGAAAAATGGTGAAAATCGTTGTAGCAGGATAAAGAATAAAATATATATCAAATTATTTAATTGTATAGCGACTAAAATATGAATTATTTTTGTAGGAAAGGCAAAATTTTCATTGTTAAAAAAAGTGATATAAGTTTCGATACACCTAATAATATCACTATAAACAGTTTATGAAAGTATGTGCTATATATTAAAGCCGCAATAGCTCAGGGAATTGAACGTTCGACTTCCAATGAGGCGAACCTGGTTCGAATCCCAGTCGATACGAATTCCCCATCCGGCTTGCACCGATCACAGTGCTGACGTGAAATATCCTCAGTGGTAGACGGATCATGGGTTAGAGCTCCCTTGCCGCCAGGCTAACTGTGGGAGGTTGTCGTGGTCTCCCTTTGCATGTAACGCACATGCGGGTTAGTTCCATCAAAAAGTCCTCCACGAGGGCAAATTTCTCCCAATACTCGATCCAGGAGTGCCTTTGTCTTCTGGATTGGGTTCGAAATTACAATGCTACGGAGTTGAACGTTAGTAGTCGTAAACCCATAAAATTGGGTCGGCTGTTCAACGACGGTTATAAAATAAAATAAAATATATATAGCACAATAAGTAAATACAAAAAGGAAAAATAGAAAAATGAATAAGTTTTTCCATGTTTTCTTTACATTTTGATTTGTTTTAACCTGCTATCAATTTATATACATAGGATATATACGACTACAAAATTGAGAGACGTGATGAAAGGGTAATTTTTGTTTATAAACTTAACACGTCATGGAGAAATCTTCAGAGGAAGACATTGGCTCACATTGGGCTATCTGGCCAACTATGATGATGATGAAACTTAATACGATTCAAATTCCAATTTTTCGAAAGTTGATTAAATTTTGAATGCGTTTTTTTGGGATTTTCTCTCATTTTTTTTTTATTTTTAAGTTTTACGTTATTTTTTGTTTTTCTACATAAAATCTATAAAACTTGGGAACTTGAATTTGCAAACATGTGTAGATAGACACTCGTAAAAAAAATTAAATTTAATAAGTTCAAGAACTACCACCAACTATTAATCGTGTTGGTTCTTGTACATCCAGGTGAAATACAACAGAATAAAAACTTGACATGCTGAAAAGACAATTTTTATTAATCAAATTAACGGAAATTTTTTTTCTAAAATGTTCGAAAGTTATTGCAATTTTATGCATTTTTTACTCAATTATTTTACCTATTTAAAATAATGACTATTCTTGGTTGCAGAAAAATGCATTTTTCTCTAGATCTTTAATAGGCTCGCGTGTGACTTGATGTTAAAAGTTACAAAATAAAATGAATAAATATAATTTTAAAAACATAAGAGAGATTTGATGTTACCAGATATAAATCTTTACATCATGGTCAGACAGCCCAATGTAAGCCAATGCCTTTCTCTAAAGATTTCTCCATAATGACTTCCGATTTATCTTTGATCTCCAATTCTTTTCATTAATTACAAGAAAAGCAGACTCCACCCAGTTAGCCCATTATCCCAACAGCGGCTTTCTTCTTCCATTGGGTTTAAAACGCAGCATCTTTCTTATTCTATTGTCATTACTCATTCGAATCACGTGGGCCATCCAATTCACTCTATTTATTTTGATGTATTTAATAATATCGGGTTGTTTATTGTAGAACTGTATAAATCTTTACATTTACATCGAAATTTTAAACATTTAAAAAAAAAGATAAAAACTGTTTTACAATTTAAATTGCTATAATGGGTTTCTTAACGAATACAATTGCTTCTTATTATAAGAATAATTACGTTATTTTAACAAAAAAAATTCTTTGCTTTTGGGGAAAATATCAACATCAGAAATGATGAATGTTTAATATAAGGAAAAATTGTAACGCAACTTACTCGCTCGTGCTTTTAACTGCTCTTTTAATTTGTGAATGGTCCACTTTTTATTGTCAAGCAGAATACATAATAAGTTTGAAGATCAACGGCATATATTTTCTTTAAAGAAAACATTATTCGCTCATTTAAATTTCTATTACCTCCTGAGCTTTTCCACACATCTTCCAAAGAATAAAATTATTTGAGTAACCACTTTGCATATTTTTTTTTCCCATGTAAGAGGAGAAAAGTTGCT